GGGTGTGCGTTTCTTTACTTTATCTCACAGTCATTACATTACATCTCGGTGTGCACACTTGCATAAGAGAGATAATCCTAAAGATAGTTCATGAGGATTCATCATATGACAACGTTGCTCGTACCTCAGAACGTTGTGGTGCATCTTCGACATCAAAATTGTCTGACCGAAATTTTGGAAACTACATCAGGTACTGGCGTGCTGTCAACATGTGCTTTTCATTCATCTTTGTTAACTTGGAAAGTGATTTCTGTTTATCGGACAGAAGATACAAATATGTAGATACTTATAGTAGCCAAAGAGACTTATCGAGAGCAATGCAATTACACTACGATTCAGTCAATATCAGAAGTTTACAAATCTTTTTTTTTTTATTTAATTTATTCTGCAATCAGTTTTACATGAGCATTAACATTAAGCAGAGATTGCTAATAATAATTTACAATATAAACTAGAAGATAGTATCGACACCCAGCGGCGTGTCTTCCAGGTATATATGTTTAGAAATCTAGTGAAGAAATTTATGTATGGAGTAGATGCACTACACTTTTATGTTGACAATATGCTAAGATCAGAACTGCTATCTAACTTTTGTCAGACAATTTGATTCCGCAGATGCACCACATTCTTGAAGGCCTTATCACATGAGGGTTTAAGGGGGAGGGTTACAAAATGGCGATTTATTATTTATCTTTTATTTTTCTTTATTATTATTTAAACAAATCCAAATATTTTGCGATTTTCTCATGGTACTAAAAATACAAGTAATATTCGGTGGGGAAAAGGGGGTAATTTTCAATATACCTAAACATATTTAAAAAGCGATCACGTGATTAAGGATACGATACCCTATCATGAACTAGCCACTAAGATTTAACACATCCTTCTTTCGAAATTCATCTTGTGCCCACTACAAAAACCTACTATCTTAAGATAAGATAAAGTCAATTCTACAAAACCTGATGTCTTTTTTTTCTTGAAGTTATGGAGAAATAGATACTATTCCATTTATAGATATCCGCTAGCATAGATATCCTTTGAATAACAAATAATTTTACTAAGAAAAAATTGAAACGAGTGAATATTTTTTTTATATAGATTTTAGTCCACGACTTTGCTTTTATTACTAAACAAAAGTTTGCACTAAAATAGTTTTCATATGAAAACATATAAAATATAAAAAAATATTTTGGGTGTTTATAATATAAAATTGACTTAAATAAATAAATAGTCAAGTAAACATTAATCGGATATTTACTATTTACATAGTCAAAAAAAAAAATCGATGTTGAAAACTTATCTAATCTTACCCTCTAATTTTCAAAAAGTGTTATAAGTCTGTATTACACAAATTCCATAATAATGCAATGAAATGTTTAATAATATGTTTAATTCGTGATGAACTTGTTTTTGAAAACACACAAATTGAAACTATAAACAGACATACAGAAACGTAATGAAGCATAAAGAGTAATGTCAACAATTACCGTTTAGACCTAATTAAAACGTGATTGAACAAGCAAACGAAACATTGATTAATATCTTGTTTCAGTATATGAGCGTAATTATAGCAATGTGTTTTGGGTACACCTTCGTATTTGAACAATTTATACGTCATTTTAAAGTTTCTTTCGAAAAAATCTGATAAGCTTCAATATGTGGAAGTGGCTTTTTCTTCTGAATTTACTTTTTCTTATTATACTTATTTACACCATTATCTTATAACACTAATTTGATTATATTTCTAATAATTTGATTTAAGGGGGACTTCTGCTAATCAGGTGATATATTTTTAAGGATTTTTGGACCTTCTCCTGCCTTGGTGATATGCTACGTAGTGATGTTTAAAATTTTCGCACCCAACATCACGGGTATTTTGAATAAGTGGCACAAACTTTCTCTTTGAAATTCTGCATTTGATTAGGCGACTGCATAAACCATCTTGTGATCTACTGACTAATTTTTGAATTTTTGAAATTGCAGAAAACATTCAAGAAGCATTTGGTGCAGTTACTATTTTAGATTCTAAGAGTTTTCAAATTTTATAACAAACGTGATATATTTCGAATAAGTTTAGGATACGTAGCATCTGTGTGTGATTTTCTGAGAAAGATAACACAGGTCCACAAAATAAAAAAAATAACGGCAAAATATTCGACAGCGACAAAGTAATTTTTCTGCATGATAATTAAAATCTTGTAATTTTTGTCGTTTCCTAGCTCTCCTTTCTTCAACTGAAGTGAGAAACGTATTTCTGCAACTTTTTTTTCATCTTTGTGTTTCTATTTGTATAATCCAGCAGGAAATTTGTAACCATATTTAATATCTATTGCCCCTAGTTAATTTGCAAAAATATTTGCGGACCGCAAATTGCGGTTATTGAAAATGTGTTTGCAGATTGCTGATGCATTTTCCAAAAAAAGCTCAGTAAAGATGAAAAAATCGTTGCACAAATCAGTTTTATAGGTGGTTTAAATGAAAAATGGTCAGAAAAACACATAAATTACAAAATTTTAAACACCATGCAGTAGAATTACAAGTCGGAGTTTTGTCTTGTTTTGTTGCAGTTTTATCCTTATTTTTAACTTTCCGTAGGGTAGTTATAGTAATGGGCCGGAAATCGAAAATGAAAATTTTGGCATTTCTCGACGTTTTAAAGGTTTCTGAACATTTTAGCATACGAAAAA